TTTTTTTTTTTTTTTCTGAGACAGGGTTTCTCTGTGTAGCCCTGGCTGTTCTGGACTTGCTTTGTAGACTAAGCTGGCCTCAAACTCACAAAGATCTACCTGTTCCTGCCTCCCTGAGTGCTGGGATTACAGGCAGGCCACTGTGCCTGGCAATAACACATTTCTTAATATCTAGTTTTAAAAGTTTACTCACATAACTGAAGTTTCAGAAAAAAAGGTCCCTAGAAAAATTATTCTGCTACCCTTTATTCAAAAGTTGTTTTACCTATGTTATCAAAAAGGCTTTTGAATGATGAATTAAAAATAAAGAGCACAGAAGCAGGCACCGTGGCACCTGCCTGTAATCCTAGTACCCAGGAAGCTGAAAGACAAAGACTGGGCTGCAAGGCCAGCTTGGGTTATGTGGTGAGTTCACGACAAAACTCCACGGTAAAACCCTGTCTAAAAAATGCAAGTAAATAAAACATAAAAATCCCAATACAAGAACCATCCTCTTCCAATGCCAAAGGTCTAAGAAATAAACGTCTTAAAACCATTTTTAAAATAAGTGTGTTGCATGGTTGGCATGGCCTGACACACCTTTAATTCCAGCACCTGGAAGGCAGAGGCAGGCGGATTACCATGAGTTTAAATCAACTTGGTCTAAAATGCAAATCCCAGGACAGCTAGCACTACATAGTGAGACCATTACTCAAACAATAAAAAAGGTGTGTTGTATTTAATTTTCTAATCTGAAAAGCAACTAGAAGTAACCAACTTTCTCTTGAAAGCATATTCCTGTGTATATATTTAAGTGGCTACATGTTCAACTTCTTCTTTGGACAATAAATTATGTTTACTAAATATGTTTATACCTTGGAAATTAATAAACTTCTAAGTGAGATATCATAGAGAAAGAAAATCTTAAACGAGTGTATTTAATTCTATGGGACCCTGACTATTCACACTCCACTTCAAATATTCACATCACCGGTACTCACACTCAGTGCGGTTAGCACGCACATGCTTTTCTGCTGAACTGTTAATATGTACAAGGCCAATCAAGACTTAGTTGACATTTTTTGTCGTATTTTGGTATGAATTAGAGATACAGAACACATGAATGAGTCTGCTCTTTTTTCTAAAATAATGAAAACCCCACTAATGCCTTACTGTAACTAGCAGCTGGCTAAGTGGAATGCATTCAAGAAACTGTGCAACACTACTCACTGAGCATCTTTTTACAGGATCCACAAGGCACAGACATTCAGCTAAGCCTTTTGCCAAGTAACAAAGCAAAGGATACTTAAAAGTTTCCAAGTATGTTGAAATAAAAAGGAAAAGGAGGACATACCAAAGAAAAAGTGAATTTCAAACACATCTATATTATTTCATATCAAATAGATAACATAAAATTTTTTAAAATATCCAAGTTTAATATTGTTGCTCTTTTTATATTAACAAAGTCTTGGAAAAAAAAAAAGGCCTAAGTATTAGGAGAAACAGCCCCCAACTTTGTGCTCAGGCACAAGGATAATAATGCACAAGAGAACAAACAACAACCAGAGGGGTTACTTAACTAAGCACTGACTATATGTACAGTACCTAATTACAGTCCAAAGGGGGAAAAATTAAGAAAGGAGGATCTGCTGGGTGTGGGGGGGGGCACACCTCTAAAGCACAGCACACGGGAGGCAGAGGCAGGTGGCTTTCTGTGAAGCTAGCCTACATAATGAGTTCTAGGACAGCCAGAGCTTCATAAGAAAAACAAAAAAACGAGAGAGAGAAGAGGGAGAGAGAAGAGAGACAGAGGATCTGGGGTTGGTAAGTGAGGGTAAGTGGGGTTGGTAAGTGAGGGTGACGAGGAATCTACTAAAACGCTTCATTTGAAAATGTTACAATATCTAATACCTTGTCTGTCACTGAAAAATAAAAACTCCAAGGAGACAGGTGAGGCATGGTGGTGTGTGCCTATAGTCCTAGCACTCTGGAAATTGACAGCTGATCAGATTAGAGTGAGTCCTCATGGAAAGACAGAAACCCCTTCTACCTGGTCATAATGGCTCAGCACACACACTGAGCCATCCTAGAGACACTATTCAGGACTAAGTTTAGATCTTTATTGTGTTGATTCAAAGAGCAACTTAAAAAAAAAAAAAAAAAAAAAGAACATCACACAACTAACAAGTTTGTAAGATAAACTCAACTTCAAAGCAAAACTGGCATAACCTAGTTAATTTATATACAGAAACACAGTAAAATAACTGGAAACTTACCTACTTCTTCCTCTTCATCATTAGATATTATATTATAGAGTGTGTCCAAAGCATAAGCTATTATTTCAGAATCCGAACTGGAAAAAAGAAATTATTATACTTATATACTGCTGGCTGGAGTTTAAACTGTTACAGCCATTTTTAGGCAGTTCTTTCAGAAGACCAATAAAGTACTCATTTCTTTCCTACAAACCTAATCTAAGAATTAGTAAAAGGAGTACATAAAGCCAGGCAGTGGCTCACACCTCTAATCTCAGTTCTCAGGAGGCAGAGGAAGGAGAGTGGCTACAGAATATCCTGGACTACACGGTGAGTTCTATATCAGGCTGGGCTACAGAGTGAAGCCCTTCTTCATCTTCATCATCACCACTGTCACCACCCCCAACAACAATAAAAAGTTAAAATAAGAGAATACATAAAGATATATTTTGAATTGTAAAAACTGAGAATAACTTGATCGTCTAATTAAAAAGTAGCATACATAAGACAGCAAAGAAAATGTATCTTAAAAGAATATATAATAACATGGTAATTAAACAAATCCACATACAGTATCAAGTAGGAAAGAACTAAATTTAAAAATGGATAGACAAGGGGCTGCAGAGATGGCTCAGTAGTAAGATCACTGGCTGTTCTATTCCCAGCACCCATAGCGTAGCTCTCAACTGTCTCTAACTCCAGTCCCAGGGAACCTGATGCCCAATTCTGACCTCCATGGGCACCAGGAATGGCCATGTGTACAGAATAGATGCAGGCAAAACATCCACACACATAAATAATACAGTAATTAAAAAAATACAAGACAATAATTCTATTAGCAAAACATGTTTATGTGTATGTATGCATGTATGTTCATCAAAACATATTTATAAAATAAACCAAACTTTAAAACTAGCAAACAGAAGAGCCAGTGAATTTTATGTTCATGTCCATGCTCATATATGTAAAACAGTATTATCTGAAGGTCATCTACCTTCTCTATATTTAAACTTCTCAAGAAATTCTTGCAATAATATGTCCAATTTATAAAATCAAGAAACACAAGCTTTTGTACTTGCTGACGGATTTCAGGATCATTTAGTTTGTTCCTCATGGAGGATGACAGCAGCCCCCAGAGAAACAAGAATGTCACAATGGTCCCAGAGTCAGCACACATGAAGAGGGACAATGGAAACACAGATGATAAACAGAAGGGCTATTAGAGGCGGGAATACTGAATAATATGGGCTTTTACACAAATTATTCACGGCTTTGCTCTGAAACACACCTTAGATGAGATGACTGAGAAACTCAAACTATAAGAGACCATCTTTAATATGATCAAGACATTCACAAGAAGGTCACAGCGCAGTGGTTAAGACATCTGTGTGGCATGTGTAAGGCCCTGCACTTAATCCTTAGGGTTTCAACAAGACACAAAGCTCCTGTAACTACAAATACTGGTGAAGGAGAGATTATTTTCCTCCTCAGGTAAGAAACAACCACAGCGTCCCCTTGTACCTTTATCCAACCTTGAAATAGAAGCTACAATTACAAAAACACACAGGAAAACTGGTGCTGGGGAGATGGCTCAGTGGGTAGGAGCACTTCCTGTGTAATTGTGAGGACCTGAATCTGAATCCCCAGCACCCACAGCTGTGTGGAATCATTTCATTGACTTCACACAGGAGGAACCAGAGAGGTCAAGGACATCATGAGAACACAGCCCACAGAATCAACTAAGCAGGAGGGACTCTCAGAGACTGAAACAACATGAACCCTGTATGGGTCTGAGCTAGGTCCTCTGCATATATCTTAAAAGTGTATAGACTCTTGTGGGACTCCTAACAGTAGGAATTCAGGGATCTCTGACACGTTGCGCTTAGGATCCTTTTCCTCCTACCGGTTTGCCTCATGCAGCTTTGATATGAGGGTTTGTGCTTTGTCTTACTGCATCTTGTTATGCCATGTTTGGCTGATTTCCCTGGGAGGCAGTATTGTAGCTTAGACACACAATTCATTAAGAAACTACTAGAGCTGGTAAGCAAGTTGAGCAGTCACAGAATACAAATTCAACTTACAAAATCAAGTGATTAGGAAATAAGAAAACAATTTCATTTAAATAATTCCAATGATAAAAATAAATAAAATACTGGATATGAGATTTGTCTTTGAAAAATACAATATGGCCAGGTGGTGGTGACACATTTGGGAGACAGGCAGGCAGATCTCTGAGCTTAAGTCCAGCCTGGTCTACAGAGTGAGTTCCAGGACAGGCAGGGATACACTGAGAAACCCTGTCTCAAAAAACAAACAAACACACACACAAACAAGAAGAAACAGAAAGGAAGGAAAACACAAAATAATGCCAGGTTGTATAATTACAGCACTAGCCTATCATTTTCAGGCCTTCTAGAAGTCAGCAATAGTGGGTCAAGTCTGTCTCATATCACAATTTTCAGGCCTCCTTCTTCACTTCCCTGTCCTGTCTTTAAGAACCTAGGTAGTCACACTGGATCCACCTGGACAATCTGTATAATTTCCTTCCATCCCTTACCATAATTCTACCTGCAAAGTCCCTTCTGCTATGTAAGGTGGCCTTCCGACGTTTGGCTGATAAAGATGCAGGCATCTGGTGGGGCATTACTCTACCTACTCTAATTTACATGCACTAGAATTAGCTGGCTTTGGAAAGGAAGTCAGTGCAGGCTCTACTGTCTGGGAAGAAGTAAGGACAATTACTTTGGTGTTGCTAGACTATACCCAAAAGTGGCTATAAACTGACAAGTGATACCCAGATCTTTAAAAACTTATATTCTCTGCCATAAGAAATCTGAATTTGGTGTGGTGCATGTCTTTAATCCCAGCACTCAGGAGGTAGGGGCTGACAGATCTCTGAGTTGAGGCCTGCCTGATCCACATAGTGAGTTCTAGGACAGCCAGGGCTACACAGGGAAACCCTGTCTCAAAAAGCAAGCAAGCAAGCAAGCAAACAAACAAACAAAAAGTTTGATTTTCGATTTCACACTACATTGAACTGGTGAAACACACAACCAAAGAGATCAGAGGCAAAAACCACAGTTTAAACGTAGTGGTAGTTTCAGATGTCTAAAGCTCTCTGATACAGCTCCCAGAAGGAAGATCCTAGTGATCTACCCCTTAAATGGAGGCAACTTGTTTACTCACTTCTGATGACTGCAATGTATGTGATTTCTGAGAGTAGACTATAAGAGTGTACTGGCTTTCTCCTTGCTCCAAGATCATAGGCTCCAAGTGATCCTAGAACGGCCATCTATTTCCAGGGTGCTCAAGCAGGATTAAAGTAAGCAACATGGAGGGCTGCTGAGGCCTCTTACCAGCAGCCATGTGACTAAGTCATCTCGCAGTGAGACTCTCCAGCACCAGTCAAGCTTGTGGCTGACTACAGCCTCGGCTGGTATTTTTGCTGCAGCTTGCTAAGAGGCCTTGGCTCCTTAGCTAAGCCACCTCTCAACCATTGCACTACAACTGTGAAGCAAGAAACTACGTTTTTGGTCACTAAAATTTAAAGTACTTTTTCATATTTTGTAATAGCAAAAGCCAGGAAAATGATTTAAGTGTTGGATATACTGAGTGCCAGAATGAAGGATGAGAAAGTTGAAAACATGATTACTTTTTTCTTTGGCCCAGAGGGATGAATTCAGCAGGAATCTTCTAGTTTATGACTCAAGGGAAGGATAATACTGACTGGGATAAATTCAGACACAAAGGTAGCTGAAGTGGGCAAAGACAGGACAGGCGCAGGAGGATCAGAGACCACCTGAGCCCCTGGGATCTCCGCCTGTGTCCTCCCCTCAGCAAGCTGCCATGTCAAGCTTTTATCTGGGTGTTAGGGAATCTGAACTCAGGCTCTTGTACAGCCCCGATTCTGAACTTGAGATCCTATGTGGGATCTCGATGCAGTAGAAATGTGTGACAAGCAACTTAAGCTTGACAGACATATTTTATGAGGCAAGATATAAAAATTATCTATGCACAGAAAATACAGATAAAATCTCCTAAAAAGAAACAGACTGAGTTAAAAACAGGCCGAGTTACCTCTCTCTAAAGACACACCTTATTTGTGGACTCTTATTTGTGTATTTACTGTCCTAAGGGGAAAAAATTATTTAATATATATACTATAACATATTTTTTTTGTAAATGAGTATCAGTACATCCATTTACCCAATACAAATCAAAACCTTTTTTCAAAAAGATTTATTTATTATATATACAATGTTCTTTCTGCATGAACACCTGCACGCCAGAAAAGGGCACCAGATCTCACTATAGATGGTTGTGAGCCACCATGTGGTTGCTGAGAATTGAACTCAAGATCTTTGGAAGAACAGCCAATGCTCTTAACCTCTGAGCAATCTCTCCAGCCCCCACAAATTAAAATCTTAAAGCCATTATGATTAACTTACATCATCGCGTTTTTTTTTTTTCAAGACAGGATCACATGTAGCCCAGATTGGCCTAGAACTTGCTAGGAGGCCAAAGATGACCTTAGCCAAGCAGGAGAGGCAAGAGGATCTCTGTGAGTTTGAGGCTAGCCTGGTCTACAGAGAGTGGTCTGTAGCCAGATAGCCAGAACAAAACAGAGAAACCCTGTCTCAGAAACAAACAAATGAACCAACACCAAAGATAATCTTAACCCTATGTCCTTCCTGCCTCCACTTCAAAAGCTTTGATTTCATGTGTGCACTACCACATCTACTTGTTGTGTTCCACTTTTATGTCTAAGCCAATGCTTGGCATACTGGCTCATACCCAGTATCCAATAATGTTTACTGAAATGACAACTAAGAATTGAAATGCAGTGTAGACTCAACGTTACTACCTTCTGGAATGATGGTTACTCTAGAACAACTTACAAGGTCTAAAAAATCAGAAAGACAAATCAGTACATGAAACTTACCGATCCGTTTGTAAAACATGGATAAGATGTTCCATGGCTTGGATTCCTACTTCCAAGCGATATTTCTGCACAGAAAACACGAAAGTGTTATTAAAGAAGCTAATTCCCAACTGAAAAAACAAACAAACAAACATGGTAATTTCGCTGGAGAGATGGCTCTGCTCTTCCAGAAGACCTAGCTTTGAACCCCAGCACCCACATAGCAGCTCATGACTCTGCAACTCCACCGCCTTCTCCTGGCCTCTGGGAGCACTATGCAGGCAAGTGGTGCAGACAAAATGCCCACATGTAAACTAAGAACCTTCAGACAGCAATTTAGTGCTACAAACCTTTGAAAGTGATTTAAGAGCACGCACAGCATTTCTTCGGTCATCCAATAGCGTAGAGGAAGCTACTCGGTCGCAGAGCTTCTGAATCTAGCAATGAAAAATAAAATAGCATTATAAGAAAAAAAAAACCCATCAAGTTGTGCAGTCCCAAATTTATACCATTTAATTCTGGAGAAAGTTCAGCATATGGAATGTTGAGGAAGTGATCTTTCACAAGTCTTTTTATTTAGGTAATATTATCCAATTGCAGAGATGTTTTTTCCCCTACAGAGACTTGAAAAGTGAGAAGAGAGCCAGGTGTGGTGGTGCAAACCTTTAATCCCTAGAGGCAAGGGAATGGTCTACAAAGTGAGTCCAGGACAGCCAAGGCCACAGAGAGAAACCCTGTCTTGAAGAAGCAAAACAAACAACCAAAAAAAAAAAAAAAAAAAAATAGCGAGAGGAAAATGAAAAGTCACCTCAGTAAGTCAAGGTAGTTGGGAAATTAGACCAGCCGCTGGTAGGGCTGGAGCTGCTATGTGCTTATCAGGGTATTTCAACTAAGCGGGGAAAATGTAGATATTCAGTCACTGGGTCACCTTCACAGTGCAACTATGTTCTGAGCCAAGAAAATTCAAAATGTGCATAACGAGTTTACATCTTCTTTTTATGTAACTTTTACTTTATGTGTAAGAGGTCTCTGCTGCATGTGTCTGCACCACTTGCTTACCTGGGGCCCACAAAGATCGGAAGTGAGCATCAGATTCCCTGTAACTGGAGACAGCTGTGAGCCACCATATGGTGCTGGGATCAAACCTTCGTCCTCTAGAAGAGCAGTGAATGCTCTTAACTCCCAACCATCTCTCTAGACCCCAATTTTAAAGTTCTAAGTGCCTCAAAACCCTTAAAAACAAGATATTTCTATTTTAAAAAAACTGCATGAATTAAAATTCAAACTAAACTTAAAAATAAACAGTAGAGCACTAGATACAACAGAAAAAAAGTTGGACAATGTCCACCAAATGAGGAAAGTCAAACACTCTTTTTTTTTTTTTTTTTTTTCCCCCCCTGAGACAGGGTTTCTCTGTGTAGCCCTGGCTGTCCTGGACTCACTTTGTAGACCAGGTTGGCCTCAATCTCACAGTGCTTCTGCCTCCCTCAGTGCTGGCATTAATCGCATGGGCCACCACCACCCAGCTACACCTGTAGCTATTCAAAAGAATTAACTGTACTGACATAAAAAGAGCATCGTGCAGTAAATACAAGCCATGAAAGTACAGGTAAATGAGCATATGTATGTAAACCAGTATTTATTTATTTATTTTGTATGTGTGTAGAAGTGTAGGTGCGCGTGTGTCCAGGCGTTTGTGTGTGTGTATAAGTTAGAGGACACAATCTATGGAAAACTAGTCTCTGCTTTCACCACATGAGTCTGAAAAACTGAACTCAGGTTTTTGTTTGTTTGTTTGTTTTTTCGAGACAGGGTTTTTCTGTGTAACTGAGCCATGGCTCATGGACTCGCTTTGCAGACCAGGCTGGCCTCAAACTTACAGAGATCTACCTGCCTCTGCCTCCCAAGTGCTGAACTCAGGTCTTTAGGCGTGGTGGCAAGTGTCTTTACTAATGGAACCATCCTGCCCTGCCTGCAAATGTGTATTTTTAAAATTGTACTGAAAAATTAGATCCAAAAAGACAAATATCTCATCTAAAAACATAATTCCAACCCCCCCCAAAGTATCTATGTAGAACTACAGAACTGTTAGAAGAAGGCAGAACAGACAACCCCTGTAATGTTCAAAAAAAGAATCTTCAGATGTATATTAAGAAAACACTTGACACTTCTGTTATTTGAAGCTAGTTGGTATACACAGATTTCTAGGCCAGCCAAGGCTACACAGTTCGATCCTCTCTCAAAAACAAAACAAAACAAAACAAAAACTTGCTATACACTCCTTACTGACAATTCTATAAATGACGTTTTGGTTTATCATTCAAATGCTTACCCTTTCTATATCTGAATAGTACCTAAGTACAGTATTTTTCAAATTATCTTTCTGCACCCTGTACAGCCCAGGAGATTTAGACTTCCTCTGATTTCTGAGCACGTGGGAAACATAGGGTTATGTGACCTCACTAGGTCTGTGTGCTGCAGGCTTCCTAGGAGCCTTTACTCAGTGCTTTACACACCAAGTCAGGGTTATTTTCTATCCATTCTAGCTATTCACAAATTACTTCTATATTAAACTAAAATTATCATCATAATACTTTTATTGAGTCTTCAAAATGAAAATAATGCAATTTTTTTCTTTATTAAACAGCTCGCTTGTTGTTCTACTATAAATTTTTACTATTAGAAAAATAAGTCACGCTGGGCAGAGGTGGCACATGCCTTTAATCCCAGCACTGGGAGAGACAGAGGTAGGCAGATCTCTGTGAGTTCCATGCCAGTCTGGTCTACAGAGCAAGTTCCAGGACAGCCAGAGCTACACAGAGAAAGCCTGTCTTGAAAAAGAATGAAAGCCAAAGCAGTATTTCTGATTAGCACAGCACCCTCCTCCCTCAGGTGTGTGCGTCTTTTTTCAGTTTTGTGGGTTTTAAAATTTTGTTTTTGCAGAGGTGGCTGACTTTTGATAGGCTGAGGATACTGAGAATTATTTCTGGGCATTTTTCTGTAATTTCTTAGCCCAAGACATCCAGTATTGACATTCTACATAAAGAACTTTTCTTTTTTGAATACTTAGTCCTAGTGGCTGAGTATCACCTCTGGTTGGATTGCAGCAAACACAAACTTTCGTCTCAGCACTCTGTGGTAGCTCACTCCGTAACCCCAGCACTTAGGAGACTGAGGCAGCAGGATCAGGAGTTCAAAGTCATTTTTAGACTACAGGGTGAGTTCAAGGCTAGGCTGAGCTACATGAGAACATGTGAGAGCTCTCCAACCATTACTGCTGATGCTGGAGGAGAAACAGCTTTAGGAGCACGGGAGGGCCTGTTCACAGTGAACACAGGACAGTCTACAACGCTAGCATTTGGGTGTTTGCTGTTTCTGTTTTTACTGGAGACGAAAGCAAGCTCGTATCTGAAAACACAGCCCTGATCACCCCTACTTCTGCTGTTAGAGAGCTTATCACTTCCTGCTCATATTTAGGGTGCCTGTGGCTTCTTAGTGATCTTCCCAGAAGGAAGTGTCTCATTGCCACTCTCTAAAGATAACTACAACCAAATAAAATAAAATACATTGCCTATGCCCAATTCCTACAAAGATTGGGTGATGCTATCATTCAAACACAGGTCTACATTTTTTCATTTTTTGAGCATTAATTATGCATAATTTCTATCCAGAACTTGTAATCTTACAGATTGTCACTCCCAGCGTTTCTCACTGCTGTGTAATTGTGCTGGGGCTCAACTGGACTCTGTGTATGTAGCTGCCCACACAGAATACTTTCTGAGAATCCCTCAAAACATGGTATCAAGTGTGACCACATTCTGACCAACAAATTATAACTCAAGGTCATGTTCAAAAAATAAAACTTTTGTGCTCTTCATTCCTCTTTGAACTTCTCAGCCTGCAATCTGAACTTGATGGTGGTGATGACTCTTCACTGGTTCATATTAGTGTGGTCCTATAGGTGAGGGCAAGTACCACACAGAGGTCTGAGGAGCAAAGTGTCCTGTCACCTACTAGCTTGTACTTTTACTAGACAAAGAGAAACTTCTTCAAACCTATCTTCTAGCTCTGCTCACATCAGCTGAACTAATGCCCTCAAATAAAGTCATTTTACAGGTAACAAAAACCTAAACTCTGGTAAAGCACATGCTTAGCAGGCAGACTCAATCCTTAGTACACACACACACACACACACACAGAAACAACCTGATTTTGAAACAAAATGTTGTGGGCAATGCATTTTCACTGATGTGATTTAAAAAAAAAAAAAACAACAAAAAACAAAAACTTCAATACCTACTATTACATATTTTAAAAGTGAATCTCATAGTAACTGATATTAGTAACTGAATATCTTTGAAAAGATATTCCTTTGTATATACATACATATGTATGTGTATCACTTTGTATATACATATGTACATATGAGAGAGAGGTTATTCCTAGTGATGGGACATGATATTAAGAAGTCAATTGTAGACTATATATTGATTTACTTACTATAAGATTTTTTTTTTTAATAACCTAAGAGAAAAAAAACATCAAAAAATCTCTGTTAGATCCCATTTTTACTCTAGCATATCTGTTCTAGCACAGGCCAGTTGGCTTGATAGTCACCTGCTTTGTGAGTACAACCATTTCTGTTGTGTCATTATACTCTACAACTCACAAGGACACAGAATTAGTGGATTCTCAAGCACTCCTCTGAAGGAAAACATAAGGTTAGCTGCTGGTCCCAATCAATATAAAGCCTTGTTTTTTTTTTTTTTTTTTTTTTAGCCAGGTGTAGCAATACCTCTCTAATCCCAGGACTTGGGGATTACAGGGAGGGAGGTGAAACTGTGAGTTCAATGCCAGCCAGGCCTACATAGTGAGACCTTATTTAATAGAAAAATCAAAACAAGTATCTCTCAAATCAAAAATAACCCCTTTGTTTTATGTGTATTTCTCTTTAAAGATGCCTCATCTAATACATATCCTTATTCATGGATATTGAACTCAAGGCCCACAGCTCTTCATGCTAAATAGAATTATTTAACCCAGGTTTTCTGTAAAATACTTTTTAGCCATCCTGTTGCTGGGAAAATCACTCAGCAGAACTCAGGGGCCATTTGTTACAGAGAAATGTCAACAACAAATACAAACATACAAAAAAAAATGCAATACCACACAAAACACTGAAAGGATTCTGTTTACACTGAAAAGCAGAAACAAGCGTTAGGTGGTCTCACTTGACCTCTGCCGGATGTGGAAATGGGGAGAGCATTTTCACTGCTCTATACTGTCCTCAAATGAGCAGGAAAGCTCTGCAATTGATTTGAGGGCTGCAAGTACGCTCTAGTGAAGCTGCAAATAAGAAAACTGATAAGGATGCAATGTTCCACAGTATAGTTCTAAGTCCACTTCGTTATCTCGGACATAGAAGGATCTAAACAAG